CCCTAGAAACCAAAGAGTCCCACAATAAATGCTCATCATTTCCTAAATGTTCAAGAAACTTTTTAGTTACCAAAACTAAAGAGACAAATGTTTAAATTCTAAGAGACATTCTAATAAAACCTAATTAACTTATATTAATTTTACCTAACAAAACTCTCCCGTAAAATTAATTTCATACATTAAAGAAAACACTTGAGATGGCTTCACCCCGACCTCCCAACTTCGACTAGCCTTCAACTTTAAAAAATTCCAAGTTCAGACTTGGTTCAGATCACCCAATTACCGAATTCAAAACTTCTTAGCCTTCAAAACATCTTGGGCTTTAAACATTCAAGCTTCCTATTAGCCGACTATGTGTCTTCTTCTTCCCAAGCACTATGGGTCCCTTTTATCCTTTATCCCGATCATCCACATCTTCACACCAGATCATCTGTCCAAGTACCTTATAACTCGATAATTGTTCGACCTCTTCTCATCCTTCTTGAATACCTTCTTTACACCAAAAACCGACCATACCTTGGTAATTTGGTCATCACCAACGTGTCATTTTGTTCTCGAGATCTTCTCATCCATAACAACTCATACCTTCTATTCTTCAACACGGTTCTTCTCGTCTATAAGAGCTCAAACATGATCACTTCGGAATTCACTACGCGAACTAAAATTGTATCTCTTTCTATACTCAATATTTTTCTTACGTGGGGTACTCGTCTTATTACTGACCACTCCTATGCAAACTCTCTCCTTCATACTCGATATTTCGAGCATCACACCGTCACAAACTTTCCCTCCATGCTTGACAAACCAAGCATCACGCTCTTCATGGTTATTTCTTCCTTCTCGATTTCCGATCCGATAGTAGTTGGTGGCACATCGGCTCGGTCTCCTTCCAATTTAGCAACAAACGCAAGTGCAACAACTTGCCCTACTCGGTCTCTTTCACTTTCATCACCAAATCGAGACAATACCATGATTCTCATCATGAATCAACTTAGTGAAGCCACAAAAGTGCTTGTGACCAAATCGGTAATTTACCTTCAACGTGTGTCCTCCGATCTCAAACTCTTCTCTTGAATGCTTCTCAGCTCCAACTTGAACATTCTATTCTTCTTCATCTCTCGCTTAGACAATCAACCTTCAAAGTTTGTTCCTCAACGGTAGTACTCGATCTTTCATGAAAATCGAATACCCTCTCTCATCATTTGTCCCATACTTAAACTACTCTTTAAATCCGGAACATAAAACCCATTTTGAATTGACCCGACTAGGTCATCCTCTTGCAAGAAATAAACAATGTCTCGACCTTTTACCGAGATCCTCGAAGCGTCTCCAAATGAAACATGATCGCCCTCATATTTTTCCAATTTGCTAAAAAATTAGTTGCCCCCACATGTGATTACTTACACATATATCCGAGATACCATGTCGAGCACTAATCGGTATCGGGCCGAACTACTTTACTGCAAATTCACATGTTGAGATCAGTCATAAAAAATGCTACTCTAATTTTCTTCTCCTCTGCAAGTTAGGTCTCATCCACCTTTTGACATTCTTTGACCAAATGTCCCTCAATTCCACAGTTGAAACATCTTCCTGAATAGTAGTCATTCGCATAATGGTCATACTTACCACACTTGAAACACTCGATCTAAGTGGTTCTTTGACCGACCTCCCCTTCCTCGCCAGGTTTGTTGATCCCCTTCTTCTTCTTCTTTCTCACCTCGAATATCGAAACCACCTCGTCCAAATCAGTTAGCTTGGGACTGACCACCACGTCTTTTTCCTCTTCCTCTATTCTTCTGGGAATAGAACGTATTCTCCTCGTTCTAGAGCAATTTCACATCTATGTCCTGGTCCTCCTTCTTTTTCTTCATTCGAGTGTTCATAGGTTTTAAGGGAACCGATCAACTCCTTTGTTATCATCTTAGACAAGTTCTTTGCTTGTTCTATTGCACTGGACTACGTTCTTAAAGTCATTTGTTAATGACCTTGAGACCTTTTCAACAATTTGTTCTATTGAAAAAGTTTCTCTGTTTTGAATAAGTTGTTTTGTCACGTTTTCAACACGCAAAATGTATTTGAAAACTTTTTTTGACTCCTTCATTTTCATGCTCTTCATCTCACTTCGTAGTGTCCGATGCCGAACATGAATGACTCAGTCATATTTCTTATGCTCTTTCTCTAGCTCGATCCATGCATTAGATGTCGACTTGATTCCTACAATCCGCTCAAAATCGAAATCTTCTACAACTCGAAATAAGAAAAAAAGAGTTACACCATTCTTTGAATGTTTCTCTTTAAACGTTTTGAGTGTATTGGACGATAACCCTTTCGTGGCCTCCGGTTCTTCATAGTTATCCTTTACCACATCCCAACAATCTTGGGCTATGAGGAGAACCTTCATCCGAGCACTCCATCTATCATAACCGACATCCTTCGTCGGTCATGACACAAGAGCTGTAACATTTGTCAAATTAGCCATCTCACTCAAATGCTCAACATTAAAACCTTAGCTCTCCCTAAGAAACCCTCATCTCTCCCTCTTCTAAAAAAACAACCTAAAAACTCAAACTCTCCTATGGAACAAAGCTCTTCCTAAAATCTCTAATACCATTTTGATAATAAAGAATTTATCGAATTACATCTCTGTATTTAAACACTCCTAGAGACTCTCGTTACACTAAACATTTATTTCCTAGAAACCAAAGAGTCCCACAATAAATGCTCATCATTCCTAAACATTCAAAAAACTTTCTAATTCTAAAACTAAAGAGACAAACATTTAAATACCAAGAGACATTTCAATAAAACCTAATTACTTATTATTAATTTTACCTAACAAAACCTAATAGTATCAACCCCTCTTCATCATGATTTTTCTCAAGCTTCAATCCTACATTTGCGGGTGTGTTGGATTACTTTGTTGCATTCCAAATTTCTTCAGACATATCACAAGCATACTTTGTCCGATGCATAGTCATCCCATATAGAGTTTGCTTGAACTCAATACCCAATAAATAACTCAAATTTCTCAAGTCACTCGTCTCAAACTCCTTTAGAAGTTCATTCTTGCATCAAGCTATCAACTCTTCATTATTGCCAAGTAATCAAAAGATCATCAACATATAAGCATATGATGATTTTTTTCAACTCTATTGTTGTTCTCCCATGCTTTTACATAGACTCCATGTTCGGACATATACTTAACAAAACCAATGTTGTCAAGAAAACCACAAATATGCTTCTTCCATGTTCTCGGTGTTTGCTTAAGCCCATATAAGACCTTTTTTCAACCTATACACTTTATGCTCTTCACTTTTATGCTCAAACCACCTAGGCTGCTGCACATAAACCTTTTCTTCAATAGGACCATTCAGAAAAGTTGATTTAACATCTAACCGTTGTAAGGACCAGTTAGCATTCGTAGCAATAGTAACCACCAATATGATGATTTTGATCCTAGCAACAAGTGCATAGACTTCATCATAATCTATTCCAGCTCTCTACAAGAAGCCTTTGGCTATAAGCCTTGTTTTGTATCTTATAACCTCACCTTTTAGATTTACTTTAATTGTATAAACTCACTTGAGTGCGATTGGATTCTTGTCTGGTGGCAATTTAACAAGCTCCCAGGTCTAATTCCTTTTGATTGAATCAATCTCCTCCTGCATAGCTTTCCACCAATGAAACTCTCTGCTACTTCTT